GGGAAGGGAAGGGAAGGGAAAGGGAAAGGGAAAGGGAAAGGGAAAGGGAAAGGGAAAGGGAAAGGGAAAGGGAAAGGGAGAGGTACTGATTGAATCTCAGACTCTATACAGGGCTAATCCGATCCCTGAAACTAAATGCACAGGTACATCAATGTCCAGGTGGTTGCTCATCTCTGAACACAATTGATGACCACAGACATCTTCTCTTTTGGAAGAACCCAGGAAGGATGCTCCTTGCACGGGGCCAAAGGGCAGCAGCTCGCTCTCCTCCGGCAGAGGAGCATGCTTCCCACCTCAGCCAGGCACGCCGGAAAGTGCGTGACTCCCCTTCTCCAAACCACAAATTTCAGGTCAAGGTTTCAAAAACATCCCCCTGCAAAGCTCAGAGGTGTCAAGACCTGAGTTAGGCTCAGGCTAGTGTAACCACATGGCTTCGGCTGGGGCCCAGGATCCCAACCGCCCTGATCGCTGATCCCGGGTTTCATATGGGCTATTCCCTAACGGCACGGCTAATTAGCTCCACTTACTTACATCCAATTAATCAGGTTAAAGAGTTTGCTTCAACATATGAGCTTCCTTCATCGCATTATGAGTTTGTTCATGAAATTTGGAAGGAATCCAGGTGGTTTCTTCCAAGGGCCAGGCACCGGGCGCTTGGCGGCGTTTGCACCTCACCACTGTGCCACTGGCTTTCTGCAGGTGGCAGCTGACAGACTTGAGGGTTTCACAAGAAAACGAGCCATACCTTTTCCTTTTTTTTTTTTTTCAAGACTGAAACTTTATAATGGGCTTTAAACACCTTGCTTTAAATTCTTCAAACGTTGTGGTTTGCACTGACCATGATGATGCCATACTTGCACCCTCTTCCCTATTCAGACCTCCAGTGCTGGTTCTGAGATGCAAAATTTGGGGGGTGCTCTGCAGCTTTCAATATAGGCTCTTACTGCAAGTTAATATGTATTCTTGAGACAGGATAGATAGAGAAAAAAGTCATTTTTCTCCACAAACTGCAGTGTAAACTGAGCCACCGTAGGGTACTGGATTTCACGGTGAATTAAAAAAAAGAAAAAAAAGAAAAAAAAGAAAAAAGATACATGCCCACAAAAAAGCAGTTCTACTCTTGTACGTCCACAGAACAGTTCCACCACTTGTAAAACGCTGCAGCAATGTGGATTTGGGTATGCTTTGTCAAAATAAATTAGATATAAGTACAACATGCAGGCAGCCAAAGAAATTGTAACAGAGAAGACGCAGCAGATGGGCACAGGCTGGAATCGCAGGCTGCAAACGCAGTCAGCCCCATCCTGCATCTCCGCAGCTGCCCCGACTCCGGCGGCTCTTTCTGGCAGAAAAACCGGGGGTCTGACAGTGGCAGCAACACATTTATCACTAAAGGAAGTTTGCAGTATTGCCTATCCTGACAAAATAATGTAAGCGGTGATGAATACAGATTTATTTTTTATATTGACGGTTCTCCCTTGGAAACCTGTCTGTTGTGTCAGTCTCCTGAAGAATATAATCCAACCTTCTGTCACTGTACTATGTGTTTTATCGTCATAAACCCGAGAAATGTAGACAATGGGTTTTGATTTGGTAAATCACATGAAAGCTGAGCCAGAAGCTGTGCCTAGATTTAACATCCAGCTAAACCTTTCACCCAGGTCAAAGGAGGGAGGAGAAGCTGCAACAAACTCCCCAGGGTTGACAGTATCTCCCCTCCTGGTGCTCCAGATGCAGGGCCACAGGGGTTCATGCTCACTGCTGCTGTCCTGCAGTTAGGAACTCCTCTCTGGGACTGACGGACAGATTCAGTGCTTTTCCCTCAGGTCAGCTGACATCTCAAGCCGATGTGACTGGGGGCCTAATGAATTTGGGGTTCCTGGGCTGTACACAGACCACAGCGTACTTCTGCAGGCAGAACCCCCATCAGCATCACGGCTGTGGATGCCGACCTCAGCCCAGAGGGAACGGGCAGAGAGCGTGAGGGGAATCTGTCTCCTGCAGTTCAGCACTTAACTCCTACAGCACAGAAACAGGGGATGGACACAGAAATTAGTCTTCCACAGATAAATTTCAGAAAAACATCCCATCGCTCAAACTGTAAAGGCATGGTCCCTTCTTATAGCCTAATTTTCAATATTATGCCTCGAAATAACCGAAATGCATTTGAAAGCTTAAGGAACGTACTTGTTGAAGGAATTACATAAATCAGAGGATTTACTGATTACGGTATTTCTGGAGGGAAAGATTTCTAGCCTGGGCTGGCAATTTCTCCATGTCCAGTTTGAGCGGAATATTGTCAGAGATATTTGTCTCCTAGAAGCCCAGTTTCCAGTTTCATAAACCACAATACTAGCTTTTTTTTTTTTTTCCTCTTTTTTTTCTTTTTTTTTTTTAAGACTGCAATGTGAAGCTCCAGAACATACTCAGAAACTACACAGCAATTGTAACTACCTGTAAACAAAGTTTGGCAAAAGGAAAGTGGTCACTGATCGTTAATATTTTGGGAGTAGACCTTCTTTTTTTTTTTTTTTCAGTGAGTCTGACAGAAACTGAAATAGCAAAACCATCTTTTTGCATCTTTGCCAATTTACGCCTTCTTTGGAATTAAATGCGTATCTAGGCTGACAGCTTATGTACAGCAGACTCCACTTAAGATAGACATGGGTTGTCTGGATAACTGGATAACAAGGCGAAAAGCTGGTTTCCCAATCAAGTCAACTAGCTGGATGACTGGAGTTATCATTTAGGTCATGAGGAAAGTAGATTTTTTTTTTTTTATTTGGGGGGGGGTCATTTTCCAGACCTGGTTCTTCTCCCATCCATGTCCGACAGCCCTTGGCAACTAGTTGGAGTCAGAGGTGGAAAAGACCCGTCAGGCCATCTAATTCCCCTTCCTTGCAAACGCCAGATTATTCCTTGTGTTTTTAGCATCCCCCAGTTTGATGCTTCCCGTATAACCAATCTTTGGGTCATTTCTGTCTCCTGCCAGCAGCCAGAACCACTGAACCAGGGAGGTGTTGCCAACCCTGCTCTGCAATGCAAGGGGGTAGGTAAGAAACAAAGACCCTGTGAGTATCTACTCCCCAAAGAGGTCTGTGTGCCATGAGCATGCGTTTCCTCCACACTGCTGCAGCATATCAGCCCTGATTACTATATAAATCTACGTGTCAGCTATGTCCTAACAGTTAAGGCATTAAAAGAATCTATTTATCTCCTGCCATTAAGTGCATGTCAGGACCAGTTGAGCACTTGATAAAGTCTCACCGTCCACTCTACTGTCCATTTTGTCTTTGTCCACGCAGCGGAGCCCAGCACTGCACATGCACATACCTTCACATTCAGAGTCAGAAGTTTTCATTAATCCGTGTTTCAGTTCGAATTAAGACTTTGCAAGTTTCGTTAAATCTCTGCAAAATGTATTTAAGGACTGAAGAGAAGCCAAGGAGCACAAAACGGGGTTAAACGCACACATAACATAAAGGCGTGCGTTAAGTTAAAATGAGTTATTTTAGGATTATTAAATGGAGGTTTATAACTTCCATAATTTTGAGTCCAATGCAGAAATATAAACACTGTCTTTGGAACCACTGCCAATATATAAATCAACTACCAACAAGCAAATTTACAGTGTCCTTCTCTGCTGAACTCTCTGCTATCATTTCATTGAGGTGAGTGGGCAGCAGAGAATCCCAAGGATGAAGATGGTTTTTCAAAGATAATTCGGTTCAGCCTAGGTTTGTTAAGATGTAAGTGGTTTTGGGGGGCAGCGAAAACTATCCTACTTGCAACGAGCCAACAAAGACACCTCTTCTTTGAAGCAAGCACCTCCAAACTTCTCTTTCCCCATTTATTAACCAGCAGACAGATGCTAGCAGCTTCCCGTGCTGCAGGGCCTGACACCGGGCTGGCTGGCAGCCTGCCACGAGCGCAGCCACGCAGGTCGGAGCGAGCACCACTCCACTCCCTAGGCGAGTGCAGTTTTCCAGGTATCATCTGAGCAGGAGAAAACTTTTTATGGCCATCTGGTAAGAAGAGCTCAAGAGTTGTTAGGGGATGGAAGTGGAAAGGGCACGGGAGTTCACAGCCTTATCACTAGGTTTTCTTTGCTGCACTGAGTCACCACATGCCCAAATCCTGAGAATAAAGTATGTTAGTGGCAGAGAGAATCCCACGACAGGCAGGGCAACAGAATGTAATGACAGCGAGAGGAGGATACTGGGGTGGGGTGAGTTGGGTCAGTGCTCATGTTACTCACTACTGGTGCTTACGTGTGCTGCTTTGAGATGGCATCTATCTTACGCTCATTATGAAGATTTATATGTCCGGAGTAAAAGCAGCGAGAAATCTCTCTGGATGAATTTTAGCTCAGTGCTGGCATCTCTATAAACAGTTCCTTTCTGTCTTTACACCTGCAGTACCGTGAGCCTAATCTGCTATCAGCTGGGTTTGGTGAAAATGGAAGGAAAACACAGATCTCTATCTGACAAAGTTCTTGGTTTACAATATAATACAAAGTCAAAACTTGGGGGCAGTCAGTCACCTTGACTTGGCACGTCTAGATGGCTTCAGCTTTCGGAGGTGTTCCCCTCACCTTTCCCCTAATATACACGGCCCGAGGGGAGCTGACCCGTTATGGGAAGTGGATGCCACACACAGTTCCCTCTGATCACAGTGTGGGTCAGTAAGTGATGAAATATGCGCCTTTGTCTATTTTCACAGCCTGTTTTTCCACTTTCACAGCCCTTTACAGACATGAGCTGGCTGAGCTCCACACCAGCGACGTGAGGCATCTCCATCCTCACCTGTGCTCATCCTCAGATGGAGCACTGCACTCAGGGACTTGTTAAGTGCCTCATCGGGGGCAACAAGCTGGTGAGAACTTGCACCAGATCTGTAACTGAGACTCATACTTAGTGTTCAACCAGCTCTTTCTGTTAGTACCAAATCTTAATCCATCCCTTGAGTCCATCTTTTTCAAGATGGAAATCAGAGGGAGGACGGTTTGAAGGGTGACAAGCTGGGCTGTGAAGGGTGCTGTGGCACCGCTCAGCAGCTGGGCTACTGCTATCTGTATCTCCGTCCTGGGGGAGGTAGCGGCAGTTTGGTGACCTGTGGTGGGCTTCATGCTCAGTAGTGATCCACCTGCAAAGCAGAGGGACGAGCCCTGATGGGAGAGTCTCTGAGCCTTCTCCAGCTGGAGCAGAGCAGGGGGAGCTCGGAGCAGCACAAGGCTCTCAGCAATAGTGGGGGCAACAGCAGAAGGAAGAGACAACTTCTGCTCTACACAGCCCTCCTGTAGTGTCCATGGGTTGCCATTCCCATACGTTTCTGCTCGAGCTTGTCCTCTTTTTCCTTCCCAGGCAAGTTGCCAGAAGAGTGACAAGGGAGCTGGCAGCTGATGTCAGAAGTCACCGTTACTCCCAGCTGCTGGTCACCACACAAACGGTGCATGGATCAAAGATGGGCCTAGTCCTTTTACGAGAGGGCGTTTGTGAAAACAAGTCAAAATTATTGGAGACAATAAAACGGCAATAACCGCGTTTTAACATTTCTGAGCATCTCCTACCACTGGGTCCCTTCTGAGCAGCATAATCTCTGACGTGCCGTTCCATTTACTTAAACAGATGATATAATTTATCAATATAATGGACACTGATGAAGATGGATTAATTTGGATTACAGAACCAGCGCTTTGCAGTGGCTCTATTCAGGACACAAAATGAGGATGTGTGTGATTATGGCATCGTTTGGAGCAGGGTGGGCGAGGGCAGCAATCCGCACAGAGATTCGGGTGCTCCTGAGTTGGCAGGGGAGGGAGGAGAGCTCTTGTCACAGCTATATGGTGAGGAAGCTTCAAGCACTAGTATTTTTCTTCAAGTTACTTCAGGCTTCTCAAACTACGTTTGTGTGATCTACCACTATTTTCTTTTTATAAATGATTTCTCTCGCACTACGCGAGATCCCCATAGAAGTTAATTAATCAGAGAGGTAGCGTACAGAGAAAAGGAAAAGGAAAACTTTAGGAAAACAAAAATAAAAATCACCATTGGGTGAGATGTACGTGATCTCTGATCACACCTCTTCTTTGTACCTGTTCCTGATCCCACTATGTCCCTGCTGGGAGACTCGCACATCGCGTCGGCCAGGCGCTCCCGAAGGCCCTCTTCAGTGTGCTCCATGGAAGACATGTGACGGAGGCCGAAGTTCTCGGGCCAGCTCCCACACACCTCCAGCAAGGTCACGCTCCGGTCGAAGGCACCTTCAACAAACAAACGGGAGATGTTTGGGAGACCCTAGGACCAAACTACCTCCATACACAGCGTTTATGGCAACGGAAGGAAAGGCGGCCTTGTGTTTGGAGTTCCTGAAACGCTGCTTTTAGCACGTTAGTTCAAATGTTGGTGTTAATGGCACAGCAGGAGCAAGCAGAGCCCTAAGTACTGAACAGCTCTGACCAAGCAGCTGTAAGCAAAAAGGATAAATTAAAAATACAGACCCAGTTCGGGTCTCACACTAGTGAGAGTCAGGAAATCAGCATCATGACACTGATGTAAATGACATGTAACGCTGGAAAGCCGTACGTACGTTATTAAGTACATGTTAGACAACTAGAAATTATTTTTAAAGTTGATTTGTCTTTCACTGGGTTGCTAGTGAGTGCTCTTGCCCTTCCCCTCTCAGACAATGGAAACAGTCAAGTCATTTTGTCTTTGCTAACGGGCACAAATTTTAGGCAAAATCCCTTTCTTGCTCTTGAGCAGAGAAGCGGAGCTGTGTGATATCTTGCTTTCTGCCTTGTGTTTGAAGTATGTCTACTGAAGGAAGAAAGCAAGCCCTGCCTTCAGTCTGGGATATGTGTGGATTTTCTACTCCGGCAGTGTGAAACTTTAGGTCAAACGTGAGCTAACGGAGCCTCTCCCCTCGCCAGCGCGTTACCGAAGATGCTGGCTGTTGTGACGGAGCGCACGTCCCTACGCAAGACACTTAATTCCTTAGCTTGCAGTTATTACCTCATTCACAACGGGGTATGATCTGCTGAATGCAAAGAGACGATTCTGAATCCAAGATCACTTCAAAGTACATGTTAAAATTTTTCTACTTTACTATACAGCAAGTCTTCTGCAAAGGCTTACTTAAATCATTCCCACTTGGAACAAGATTACAGTTATGCTTTGTTGCTTCAAGCACATACCATTTACTCAACTATTAGGTAACTGAATATGCAGCATTTATTGTGCCTGGTTTCTGCCAGCCTACAGAGGGGAAAAAATGCAAATGCCAATGTTTCTCAAAGTTAAAAGTACATGAAACACGTCCTTGTTATCAGGCCTTTGGTTTTCCCCTTTGATCAGCCGTCAGAAACTATCTACACTTGTAGCCTGTGACTGTACAGCTTCACAGCACACTCCCTGCCACTGACAGGTGGTAATAGAAAGGGTGAGAGACCAAGCCCCGCGGCAGGCGTCCCTTCCTCTGATAACGTCCAAAGTACCGGGTGATAACCGTTAGTAAACACTCGGGCAGCCGGTTAATCCATACATCAGCAAAGAGGGGCAGATAATTTTGAACTCTAATGGCATGGACAAAAGCACCAGGGCTGGCATTCAGGGATTTATATGGGCTGCAATGGTGACTTCTGGCTCCTGAATTTCATCGGCGCGCACAACTTTGATTTATCTCTTTGCCTGGCTGCAGAGTAGATTCCTGGCACTAGAAAACCATCAACACTAAAATGGACCTCTACAAAATGGGACCGTGGCTCTTATGTGATGCATGCACTTGAACTCTGGATGAATCCCAGTTTAAACCGAGAGGAGGAATGACCAAATATTTCAACTTTTAATGGGTCTTTGGATTTATAAGGTTACTCTAGTCCACTAATTCGTTTTAAAGCAAGGGTTCTTGAAGCTTGCTTGCGAAAATGCAGTAAGGAGGTGAAGTCATTTCAATGATGTTTTAAGTCCCTGCAACGTTTCCATGTTGTCATGTATCCTAACTGCAGCAGGAAAAGCAAAATTTGGCCTTTTTTTGAAGCTTCTTTTTTCAGGTCATCCTTCTGCAGTTTCATGCTACCCTGAGACCCCCACTCCACATATGCTCCAAGACCCCACTGACTGCGGTTGGTTTAGACAGGGCTGTTCACATACCTGGAGAGCTACTGGGGGGGCGCTTTTAAACCTGCATCCCCAAACCCCAGGGTAGCAGCGGGGAGATGACGAGCTCCCACGGGTTTGTAGGGCTGTGACGGAGATGAGAAATCTCTTCTTTACTAATGTCTGTCCTTACTCCCAAAGTGAGAAATAGGAGCATTTCTGCTCCTATAAGCAGACACATGAATAATAAGGCAAATGGCTTTTGAAGCTCTGCCAAGATGCCTGCATATGTGTACAGGGAGAAACTTCATAGAGCGCCGGTCTCTGGCTCCTGAGATACTTGAGTGAGAGCAAAGGAGACAAGTGCAGCGTTACCTCCACAATCAGGGCCAAGAGCTGCCAAAACTTCTTAGCAGCAACATGTGAGGTTGCAAGTGTTAATGCAAATGCCGGTTAGAGGGATTAACTGCACTGAAAGTTTTCTTGTTAAAAAACTGTAAGGCTGGTCAGGCTCTAGTTTTATCCTTCCTCCCTTTTCACTCCTTCTCCACGTCAGGAGTACACGTCTCGTGATAGGAGTCTGCCTCCAGGCATCCAGCTGTGATTCACCAGCCACGCAGCACCCCACGGGTGAGCACCCTGCCTGAGCCATGGGCGGCAGGGGCAGAGGGGGTCTGTGTGCTGTCATCCGCTCTCTGCTGCAGCGGAATCCACAAATTCCTCCTCCTTTCAGTATGCACAACGATAAATAAAAGTGGGTTCCACATAAAGCTGAACACACAGATGTGCAACTGATGTCACTCGGGGTGTGGGGAAAAACAAGACTGAATGTCACAGATCTTCCTGTTCTTCTTGCCATTGCATCAGCAGACAGCACGTGTATCAAAGTAAAATTGTTTTTTTCAAGGCAGAATTCAGTCCTGGGTACTTTTGCACCTTGAAAAATTTTTCTGTCAAGTGCATGAAATGGCAGATGGGCTGGTTGCTCCCCAGGAGCCTTTGGGTGCTCTGCCCTACGTACATCGTTACCAACGGCACAAGAACTAATGGCATTAAACTCACACTGATACCAGCCAACCGTATCTCTGCTATTTATTAAATTGTAATCTCTTTTTCTGGCTGCCTTGCTCTCCCCTTTTCAATCCTAGTATCTCAGTTGATAACGTATCAAATTCCCCATCGTCGGCCAGAGAGAAGTTTACAAATAAACCTCAGCGGAGTGTCCTGCTCTCAAAATCCCCCAACCCCACAGCCAGAACATAACCGCAGAGCCAACGCGGCTGAGAAAGCTCCTGCTGATTCAAGGGATTACTGAAGGGTTGAGAGAAGGCAGGCTTCGACCCGTGCCTTTACAGGCAAACTGCTGAAATCCTACTGACAGCCACCTAGATCAGACCTTGACGTGTGAAGCCCAGCCTTTCTTCTGTCCCCCAGACCTGCTACAGCTTTGATGGTGGAACAGGTTCCACCCAAACGGAGCAATTAATTCAGTCACAACTCAAGAAAGAAGCACATTAGGTATTATTTTAGTCAAGCAATTACTAGTGAAATCCTGGTGAAACCTCATTAAATCACTGCAAAAAATCCCATTGCCTTAAAATTCTGTCAGTATTTCATCCTGTCGCGTGGTGTTTTCAAGCTAGCAGAACATTTACTTCTCCCCTTATTTGCTGAAGATGAAACTGGATGGAAATGAAGACCATCAGCCTCCTCTGTATGATGGCCAAGCACCATCCCAGACCCACGGCACTACAAATCAAAAATAACTCCAAATCAAACCAAACGGAACAAGTAAAAACCTTGGCTTGAACATCTAGGTCCTAAGTGCTTTGTTTTGCAATTCCAGTGTGTTTAGCTTTACACTCCGAGCTAATTCTGCTCCACACGCAGGATTTTCCTATTAAAACTTTTAATTTTCTCCTGATACCGATCTCCCACTTCTGTCCTTCCACTGACATTTGCCTCCCAACGAGCACTGCCCTTTGCTCACACCGCTGTCGGATGGAGCAGAATCAGGCCCCGGTCTTTCTGCTTAATGTTTCTCACATTTTATTAATGGCAAAGGCTTCTGTTATTACTCACACCAAATTACCTTGCTTCTATAGAAGCGCAGGATTTGTCGTTTGCATTGCAATTGTTTCAAGGCTTTTAATATAAAAGGAAAATAAATTCTACAAAAAAAAAAAAAAAAAAAAAAAGCAGCCTCAAACCTTGGAAACATCCTTTCATTTCACAGCTAGCCCTACCAACCAAGACTGAGAAAACCAGAGAAGTTTATTTTCTTCTCTGAAAAAATCTAGTAGTAAAAAGTATTTTTACAAAATATTTTAATGCTCCTAGCGTGTTATTTTTCTAAGTCAAAATAGCTAAGCTAAATCTTTCACCATAGCCCTTTAATTCAAAAGCCAGGGGAAATTTTTTTCATTAAACCTCTGGACGGCTTTGTTGAAAATATGAAATCAAGTAGCTCCATTTCCTGTCTTCTAAGGAACAGTAAATCAAAAAGAGTACGTTCTCCAAAAATACAGTAATGGTTCTATTAAAGAGCTTGACAGTTTTGAGCCTCACCTTGCATATTGCAACATACGTGTGAGCAAAAATAACAGAGTAAATAGGAGAGGAAATGACCTGCCAATTTTAACCGATAAAAGATGCATCCTTCTCATGAAAGGGATGGGGGTCTGACCCCCGGGGACGGCAGGCCCTGGGGCGTGACCAACGTGGTCTCGGGGGGAGAGCAGGGGCTGCCCATCGCCAAGTCCCTGCCTCTTCTGGCCCCTTCAGAAGCAGGAGTGGACTTTGAAGGGAGTCCCAACCCGCTCGGCCCCAGCAACCGCAGCATGAGCGTGTCAGAGCTGCCCAGAAAAGCCTCGGCCGGGAGCAGGAACCCCACGGGCGTGTGGGGAACCGGCGCATGGAAACTCCTCGCCCAGAGTAGTGAGTCAAATTGTAACATACCCCGTTTAAACATTAATGGCTGAACTTTCCTACGGGGTTTGCCAATTCACTTCCACGCCATAACTCTGTGACTCCAGGGGGAATGCCACAGAGTACTCGAAGGGGGGGACCTGTGCAAACGAATTATTTAAGCGTGGAGGAAGCGGCATCTCCCCGACCTGCCCCGTATGGGCCTTTTGAACGTGTGCCCGTGTTGGGCGGCACGTGC